GGGTACATTATCAAAGTTGAGAGCCGCCGAGTTGAGACATAGTCCTAATTGTAATGTGTAAAGATAAAATACATATTCCTACAATTTTTTGCCCACACTTTATATTATGTGGCCTTAACTACTATGTAATTAACCATTTAAAGCAGTTTACTTATTATGTCCAGACATGCTGATGCACTGTAAGTACAAGTAAAGTACTTTTATATGCATTTACTTCATTTTTGTACTTGCACTGTTAATTTTACCCCTACACTCTAAAAAAAAAGGTGCTTCGGTGGTTCTTTGGAGTGGTTAAGGTGCTATATAGCATCACTACCGTATAAAGAACCTGTTAAGCCCCTGTATGGTTCTTCAGCGGTTCTTCAGTCGATGAGGTGCTATATAGCACCACTACCGTAAAACCTGTAAGCCCCTGTATAGTTCTTTAAAGGTTCTTTAACTCTCTCTTAGTCTTGTAGTTTAGTTGGGGAAAGGGTTAAAACAACATTAAAATACAGTCTATTTCTTGAAGATATCATTTGTTTTGCCCCCAAGGACCCCATAAGGAAATATTCCAAGGCGCACACACGAGACCTTTGACCTCAGAAAAAAAGGACCTCTCCACAAACAGCATCACCAACTTCACACATTACTGACCAGTTAGACTTTATTTCTGGAGTATCTAAAACAGAAGTTCTTTATTGAGAATTAAGGTTTAGATGTTTTTTTTGTTTTTTTTTAAACTTACCGTTTTGGTGAATAGTGTTTGCTTTAGTTGCCTCTTGACCCTTGACATTAATTTTAAGTTGAAAAAATAAGTTTCTCTTGGGCTGATACAATCGTGTTTATAAAGCACATATGTGATGGCAAGGAACTTATCGTAAAATCATTTCATGCGTCTGAGTCTCTGGTTGCATTTTATCAAAATATGTAGTTCTTTTATGAGTTTTATGTCATTGCAGTTCTACGATACTACGTGACAATGTGAGAACATTGTATAAACCACTTTTAGAATTATGGGTTATAAAGAGGTTTCAATTCTGTCACGCATAGACATGAAGAATCAGCATGTGAATCTGGTGCAATGGTGACAAAATATTCTGATCATTTTGATATGATTTTTGAACATCACAATACAGGGCAGTAAAAAGTCACAACAAAAATAACAGCAAATAGTAAGAATAAAAGAAAATACTAAGACAATGCAGCTGCATAATATATTCATGTCGCAATGCATGCTGGGAGCCATGGATGAGTTATGATTGGTGCACCATTGTTGAGTGCTATATGTGCTATAAGTGCTATATGGCACCTCTTATGGTTCTACATGGCACCATTTGACAAAGGTGCTATACAGCACCTGTAAAAATAGGTCCTAAACAGCACTAAAAGTGGTTCCCCTATGATTACAAGCCAAAAAAACGCTTTTAGTGCTATATAGCGCCATTTTTTTAGAGTGTATAGACATGTTCTATAAGGCACAAAAGCTCATAAAAAGATTCTGAGCTCTCTACCTCTGGACTGCTAATGTAAGCATCTGTTTAGCTTCTGCTTTCTGATCTTCTCAGTTCAACCAGACTTTTTCCTAAAGTCCATCTACTGAGAGAAAGAGAGACAGAGATCAAGAGAAAAAGTGGGATGTCAGGGTGTCTGACCTCACCTACAGTTGATAGTAGAATGCCTTTCAGTGATCTGATCAGAGGTGGCCAGTCGAGGTGCATTAATCTTTCCACCTGGCATTAACATGCATTTAAAATGTGTCTCCTGTGACCATTTGATCTACTGTGGTGGATTTAGACCCTCTCCATTTCTTTTGGCACACTTTACATCACTTTTGTGGGAGCGCCGAGTGTGACACACAAATACTATTAAATGTTACGCAGCTTATAACTGAGTCCTGGATGCATTCACAAGTATATTTTCCAAAAACAAAGATAGCAAACTATGATCACAAGTTCCACTGTTATACCAATATAGTTCAGTGATTCAGTGTTTCCCGAAACCTTAGTTCCAACAAACTTTTGCAAACAGCACTGTGAAGCTGTGTGTTGGAACTACAGCTCTCAACCTGTGGTTAGTGTAGTTTCTTCTTAGAATAACATGTGGACTAAAGCTCTTGAGAAAAATAAGCATGTGAACATATAGTACAATCTATATCTTTCATTCCAAACACTGTAAATATACACATTTTATTCTATGTCTTTTAGATTGTCAAGAGAATGAAAGTGCCATTATGAAGAATGCGCTTATAGAACCTTGGGGAACTCCAGAGTGATTTAAGAGGAACCTTCAATTGAATCAAATATCTGTAAACAAAGCAAAACAACAGAGAAAAAATAGTCCTCAGATGCTATGATCATTATTAACAGCAATAACCTGACATTAATTCAGTTTATTAGCAGAAGTTATGATCTGCATGACATCATCAATAGGAGATCAGTGTTGTTGAACCAACATCGTTCAAACAACAGATGTGTGACAAAGTTACTATAGTTTCAGGAAACAGATGAGACCAATTAGTTAATTTTGCACTGACCACTTGAGAAAAAAACGCATGACCAATTAGTTAATTTTGCACTGACCATTTGACAAAAAAATGCATGTCAGTGTAAATGGGGCTTATGAGTATATGAGAACCCTGTATGACTGTATGAATCCTGTTTGTGTCACGATTCTGTTAGTTTGGACTTTTTGTGTTTCACCACCTTCTGCCTGAGTTCATCATTGGATGTCATGGACAATCCTTATGTTCAGCTGTTCACTCATTAATTTGCTCATTATCACATGTATATATGTTCAGTTCTGTTTGAGTTTAGTTGCCTGGTGTCATCAGTATTTGGATATTTTGTAAGCTGTTCAGTTCTTGTGGATTATTCTGTGAATTTATTAAATATTGCTTATTAACCTTTATATTTTAGTTTAGTTTAGTTAAGGGAAGATCCCCCGGGTTGAGGATACGATTGCGGGCTATCTTTCTCCTGGAGGTGCATCTTCCCTTAAGGCTCCGGCATTACCCACCAAGTCACTTAGGACTTCCTCGGCTTTGGTGGGTAAGGCATACACGGCAGCGGATCAGGCTGGAGGTTGCTTGCACATTATGGCGGTGTTGCAAGCATACCAGGCTGACCTGCTGAAAGAGATGGATGAGGGAGAAGAGATAAAGAATGGTCGCCATGATTTTGCCAAGTAAGACATGTTCCTGGATCAACATCTTTTGTTGATCCTGGATCAACATTACTGTCCAAAAGTATAGACTAAACCCAATCCCTACCCCTAAACCTAACCTTACCCATAATTTATTCCTAAAGTCAGTGTGAAATGATAGCTGATTAACAAGGGTGTAGAAGCACCTAACCCTGATCGTAAGCCTAAAACAGACATTTCCTGAAAGGTTATCCCTCAATTCTGATTGGTTAATTGGAATGTTGTTCTAGGATCAACAAGGAGGTTGATCCAGGAACATGTTGTACTTGGTGAAATCACGGTCAGCGCGTAGAGCCACAGGTCTGTCACTTCGGGCCACCAAGGAGACCGCCAGAGCTATTGGGCAGTCTATGGCAGCCCTGGTGGCCACGGAAAGACATCTGTGGCTGACCCTGTCCCAGTTAAACGATAAGGACAGGGTCTTTCTCCTGGACGCCCTGCTAGTGCCTTCTGGACTGTTCGGTGATGCTGTAAACACAGTTGTCGACAGGTTCCGACAGAGGCCAAGAAACAAGCGGCTGCATTCCAGCAATTTCTGCCTCGCCGCTCTCATGGGGATGATAGGCGGGATCAGCCCCAGCCGTGTACCAGTTCCTCTCACAGGGAAGTCCAAAAACAGAGCGTTGCCACTCGCACTCTCCCGCAGAAAGAAAAGCAGGAGGGGTGGCGGCGCTCCAGGTCGAAGTTTTCGAAAGAGATGAGGGGTTTTTAATAAGAAGACTTCGGCCAAGAGGTCCTGACATAAGGGTGTCAGGACATCTGAGGGCAGGGCCCTCTGGGGAAGAGCGGTTCACACCTCAGCATATGGTGCCCATCTCTCATCAGTGGCCTGAGGAGATCATTCCGTTAAACCTGCCACCCCCGGTGCTTCAGGGCACAGCGATCTCCAGTGGGTGAAGGATGGGGGTTACATCCGATTTTAGATCTGCGTTTTGTTGAACCGCTCAGTGATGCGACTCATGTTCAGAATGCTCATGATCAAACAGGTCGTGTCTCAAATCAGGTCCGAGGACTGGTTTGTGATGATAGATCTGAAGGACGTATACTTCCATATATCCGTCCTTCCTCAACACAGGAAGTTCCTGAGGTTTGCTTTCGGGGGCAAAGCGTACCAGTATCGGGTTATTCCGTTCGGTCTGGCACTCTCGCCCCGCACTTTCACCAAGTGTGTGGATGCTGCTCTGGCTCCTCTGTGACTCCAGGGCATCTGCATACTGAATTACATCGACGATTGGTTGATACTAGCTCAATCAGAGCAGATAGCGGTTCGGCATCGAGAAGACGTTCTCGCTCACATGAAAGAGTTGGGGTTAAGACTAAACGCAAAGAAAAGTGTGCTTTCTCCAGTACAGAGGAACACTTATCTGGGCCTAGTGTGGGATTCGACCACGATGCAGGCAAGTCTGTCACCTGCTCGGATCGAGTCGATCCTCACGGCAGTCAAGAGAGTGAGAGAAGGCCAGTCACTCACTGTGAAGCAGTTTCAAAAACTGTTGGGTCTGATGGCAGCTGTGTCCAACATGATACCTTTTGGCCTGCTGTACATGAGACCCTCGAAGTAGTGGCTCAGGACCAAAGGGTTTTCCCCGAGGGGCAAGCCGCTTTGCATTATCAAGGTCACACACCGATGCTTACCTGCCTTAGACATGTGGAAGAAACCTTGGTATTTGGTATTTGGACGGAAACCGTGTTGGGGGCTCCATGTCATTATGTAACACTAACGACAGATACCTCCCTCACGGGCTGGGGAGCGGTCATGAGTGGCCGCTCCGCCCAGGGTCTGTGGGAAGGTCCCCATCTCATGTGGCACATCAACTGCCTGGAGATGCTGGCCATGTTACGAGCATTGAAGCAATTTATCCCAGATCTGAGAGGCCATCATGTGCTTGTTCGCACAGACAACACTCTTACATCAACCGCCAGGGGGTCTGCTCTCGCGCCCTATTTACAGGCTGGCGCGCCAGATCCTTCTGTTGTCCCAGGGGAAACTGCTCTCTGTGAGGGCAGTGTACATCCCTGGGCACCTCAGTCAGGGAGCAGACATCCTGTCGAGGCAGGGGCTGAGGCCCGGGGAATGGAAGCTCCACACCGAGGTGGTGGAACAGATTTGGAAGAAGTTCGGTTGAGCCCAGGTAGACTTGTTTGCTTCTTGAGAGACCTCACAATGTCCCCTGTGGTTCTCCCTCACGCATCCAGCTCCGCTGGGACTGGATGCTATGGTAAATAAGTGGCCGAGGCTTTGTCTGTATACCTTCCCCCCGATTGCTCTGCTCCCAGGAGTTCTGGAGAGAATTCGCCGGGACGGGGTTCGTCTCATATTAGTAGCCCCGTACTGACCGGGACGGCCATGGTTTGCGGACCTGGTAGCTCTACTCGAAGACTCTCCATGGAAGCTTCCCATTCGGTGGGATCTACTCTCTCAGGCGGGGGGGGGGGGGGGGGCCCCCTTTTTTGGCCTGCTGTTCATGAGACCCTTGCAGTGGTGGCTCAGGACCAAGGGGTTTTTACCGAGGGGGAACCCGCCTCGCACGATCAAGGTCACCCGACGATGCTTATGTGCCTTAGACATTTGGAAGAAACCTTGGTTCCTGTCACAAGGCCCCGTGTTGGGGGCTCCATGTCGTCCTATAACGCTAACGATGGACACCTCCCTCACAGGCTGGGGAATGGTCATGAGTGGGCTCCGCCCAGGGTCTGTGGGAAGGTCCCCATTTCATGTGGCACATCAACTGCCTAGAGATGCTGGCCGTGTTTTGAGCATTGAAGCAATTTCTCCCAGAACTGAGAGGCCATCATGTGCTTGTTCGCACAGACAACACATCGGTGGTCTCTTACATCAACCGCCAGGGGGGTCTGCGATCGCGCCCCCTTTAAAGGCTGGCGTGTCAGATCCTTCTGTGGGCAGAACTCCCTGAGGGCAGTGTACATCCCTGGGCACCTCAATCAGGGAGCAGAAATCCTTTTGAGGCAGGGGCTGAGGCCCTGGGAATGGAAGCTCCACACCGAGGTGATGGAGCAGATTTGGAAGAAGTTTGGTCTAGCACAGGTAGACTTGTTTGCGTCTCGAGAGATCTCAAAATGTCCCCTCTGGTTCTCTCTGACTTATCCGGCTCCGCTGGGGCTGGATTCCATGGTACAGACGTGGCTTGCTCTGCTTCCGGGAGTTCTGGAGAGAGTTCGCCGGGACGGGGTTCGTCTCCTTTTAGTAGCTCCATACTGGCCGGGCCATCCATGGTTTGCGGACATGGTAGCCCTACTCGAAGACCCTCCATGGAAGATTCCCGTCCGACGGGATCTCCTCTCACAGGGCGGGGGGCACCATCTTTCACCCCCACCCGGAGTTGTGGAAGCTGTGGGTGTGGCCCCTGAGGAGGCACAGCTCATAGCATCCGGTCTCTCAACTGAGGTTGTTGAGACTATCCTCCAATCCAGAGCTCCCTCTATGAGGAAATCATACGCTGCTAAGTGGCATTTATTCACTTCATGGTTTGACAGCCATCAGTTAGACCCAGTCAATTGCCCTGTTGGGTCAGTGCTGGAATTTCTGCAAAAGAGATTTGCCACAGGGTTATCCTCCTCCACTTTAAATGTCTACATGGCTGCTATTGCTGCTCATCACGCTCAGGTGAGCGAGCAGTCTCTGGGGAGGAACCCGTTAGTGACACGTTTCCTCCAGGGTATCAAGAGGCTGAGGCCTCCGGTACACCCATGAATGCCTTCTTGAGATTTGACTGTGGTTTTAGAGGCCCTTTCAAAAGCTCCCTTTGAACCCCTGGAAGAGATTTATTTGAGATTTCTTACAGTTAAGACTGTATTTATATTAGCCATCTCTTCCTTGAAGAGAGTCGGTGACCTGCAGGCTCTGTCAGTGGCCCCATCATGTCTTGAGTTTGCGCCTGGTATGGCGAGAGCATTTCTGTACCCCAGGCCGGGGTATGTCCCAAAGGTGCCCTCTGTTGTTCCACGGCCAGTCATTCTGCAGGCATTCTGTCCTCCTCCTTTTCGTGACTCTGACCAGGAAAAGCTTAATTGTGTGTGTCCTGTGCGAGCATAGAGTTTCCAACAGAAAAAACAAAGCTACACGGAACTACAATCGCAAACCACTCAAAATACCAGCAGAAGATGATGAGAGAAGGAGGACACTGATTTAGTGGCTCCCTCATCCCATTGGATCCACCCTGACCAGTCGTCACTCCACCCTCACCATGGACTTTCGGGATCTCCTCTACACTCCATCTCTTCACCCCTACGACTCTGTGAAGCTCCTCCTTCCTTCAGGCTCCACTGTGGTCCTCACTTGCTCCATTGCCACTGCAGTTCTCTGGCACCCTGGTTCCTCCTCTGTCACTATATTGCCAGGACTCTGCCTTGGCCTCCAGATCCTTCAATTTCACAGGGTCTCTCGGTCCAATGGACATCACCTTGGCCTCATCATCTCCCAGCTTTACCTCTGTCAGTCGGGCTCAAGTTTCCACCATGGCTCCTCCCTCCATCTGTCCGTGCTCATCTCAGACGGTAATTGTTTCTCATGGGGACATAAGCTATTTTCAACATTTACAGGGGTTAGTCGTGATTTTATTGCCATCCAAATCCAGAATGACGGGTGTTTTTCTCCCACCATCCACGTAAAAATCCCCAGCCGAACTACTTTTTTTTTCTTGGACAAAAACCAAGGTTGTGTGGTAATTGAATTGCCGTCCAAATCCATATCTCTGAGTTTACAAGAAGAAATCAATTGAAAATTCACAGTTTAAATATTTTTTGACCACTGCCTATTATACACAATTATATACATAAAAATATAAGCCTGTCAGGCCTTGGCCTCATCATCTCCCAGCTTTACCTCTGTCAGTCGGGCTCAAGTTTCCACCATGGCTCCTCCCTCCATCTGTCCGTGCTCATCTCAGACAGTAATTGTTTCTCATGGGGACATAAGCTATTTTCAACATTTACAGGGGTTAGTCGTGATTTTATTGCCATCCAAATCCAGAATGACGGGTGTTTTTCTCCCACCATCCACGTAAAAATCCCCAGCCGAACTACTTTTTTTTTCTTGGACAAAAACCAAGGTTGTGTGGTAATTGAATTGCCGTCCAAATCCATATCTCTGAGTTTACAAGAAGAAATCAATTGAAAATTCACAGTTTAAATATTTTTTGACCACTGCCTATTATACACAATTATATACATAAAAATATAAGCCTGTCAGGGTTATTTTCTGTTCTGTAGTCCTTAATTTGACCCAGTTTCCTTTGTTCCCATTTTCCCACCACTATTTTTTTCCCATAGTTACTCATTAGTTCTTGCCTGTTCTGATTTTGTTAATCATCTGTCTATGTGAGCCCTCAGTTTTTGTCAGTTCCTTGTCTGGTATTGTTTGTATGTTTCAGTTGTTGTGTCATGATTCTCCCTGAGTATTCCCATTGGATTTATTATTAAAGACTGTTAGTTTGTTGACTTCTCCTGCATTGTGTGCTTGATCCTGCACAACATATTACACAATACCAGACCTAAACTACAGAAAGATGGACTCACAAGCAGTGAGCCTCCTCCTCCCGGAAAAGAGGAGTTTGCTGGAGTATTTGGGCTGGATACTCCGGTATGGCGATGTTTCTATCACAGCCTGTGACCCAACCCCTGCCCACACTCCCACTGCTGAGGGTGAGCTGTGTCTGGACTCTGAAGTTTATTTTGAGTTATTTCCCTGAATCTCCCGTCCCCGCTGGTTCTGCCCAGCCCCTGTTCTCCTGCGTCTCCCCAGCTCCACCTAGGTGTGAGGATCCCCTGTCTCCACTTTCAGCCTCCATCCCATCTGCTCAGCCTTGGCTCCTTGCTCCCTTGTCTCCACCGTGGCCCGTCATTCCACTGGCTCCACCGGGCTCCCTCGTTTCTCTCGCTCCGCCTTGGTCAGCCGTCTATCTGCCTCTGCCACGGGATTCCACTCCTCCGGCTTCACCTCACCCCTACATCCCTCAAGCTCCGTCTGGCTCCTCCTGTCCTCTGGCTTCACCTTTGTCCTCAGTCACTTCGGCTCTGCCATGGTCTTCCAGGTGCCTGCCTCCGCCTCAGTCATGTGAGCCGTCAGCTCTGCCTTGGCCCTCCAGACCCATGGTGTCACCCTGGCTCCTTGGCTCTCTAATGTCAGGGTTATTTTCTGTTTTGATTTAGTTCTATGTTCCATGTTTAATTTGACCCAGTTTCCTTTGTTCCCATTTTCCTCCACATTTGTTTCCATATTTTCTCAGTTCTCTCACCTATTCTGATTTTGTTAATCATCTGTCTATTTAAAGGGATAGTTCACCCAAAACTGAAAATTAGCCCATGATTTACTCACCCTCAGGGCATCCTATACGTATCTGACATTCCTCTTTCAGATGAACACAATCGCAGTTATAATTAAAATTGTCCTGGCTCTTCCAATCTTTATAATGGCAGTGAATGGTGCCCCTGTTTTTGAAGCCTAAAAAACTGCATACATCCATCATAAAACTACTCCACACATCTCTGGGGTGTTAATCCTGCATTTTGTGCTTGATCCTGCACAACACTTTACAGCTTTTTTAATGGGCTCCATCATCTTAAGAGATAAAATGCAAGACATAAATCCATTTCAACTATTGCACATCTATTTTCCTATTTTTAAGCTGGAGATTTAAATAATCAAATAATAAATAGGATAGTATTAAATATGAATTTATTGTCATTATTCCAAGCATATGACATTTTATTTACAGCAGACAATCTTATGACTGGCTACGTGAGCAGTGCTTTCGTAGGATCACAGAACATGAGTTTTTTACGGACGTCAACATGAGAAACATTTACCATTAATGGTTAACTGCTAGTCAGTCAAACTAGTTCTCAAGACACAGTCTTGACATTGTGACTAAGGGTGTATTCACACCAGGAAATCCACTAGTTCTCTTGCTTTGGTCCGGACCAAATACATTGTTGATTTATTTTTGTTTGGTGTGGTTCGCTTTCACACTGCCCTTTTTTATGCAAGTGGACCAGAAATTGTAAACAAAACCACACATGTGCTAAGGTCATCCATTCATTGGACAGAAATTCTCAAGCGTACCAAAGTTCGTTTGGAACCGGACCGAGACCACCTCTTCAGCTGGGTCACGGTGCGATTGTTTGTTCCGCACACGAGTGTGATTGCTGTATTCACACCTGCCCCAAAAGATCCGCACCAAGGTTGGAAACAAACTTGAGTTTGATTCAATTGAACCAAACAAGACAGGTGTGAATACACCCTTAGTTTATGTAACTGGTTCCTGTTCTGAAGAACTAACTGACAGGTTGCTATCAAAATACTGAACATGGGTAGAGAACAGAGTGCTGGATAATTTTTTAACAGACTTTGAATAAAGCTGTCTGCAGAACTGAAAGTCAATCAGAGAATCACTCAGTGATGGGGAAAAAGGCATAAATGGTTGATGAAGAGATGCAAGTAAGTAAGGTGCTTCATAATACATCATGCTTCATAAAACTGTGACCAGACGTCACAATATAAAGACAGTCCTCTCAGAGTCCTCTCCCAAACAGCAAGACCTACATTTTTATAGAGTTGTAGTTGTACTACTCAAAATCTTGTTAAACTTCTTAAACATTTTCTCATAATTTTCTTTGAGTTGGACATAGGAACTTATTACTTTTAATTAATCTGATCTGTTTCCAGATTCCAGATGGCAGTACTTACAATAACAGCCTTTTTTCACAGTGGTAATTAATTGTGAAATTATACCAGTTAAACAACTGACAACTTCTTACCAAATACTGTGAAAATCAGGCTTATGCATATGTGGAGTGCAATGTGGCTAATGTGGGCCAAATACAAATTTACACTGAACAAACATATCTGCTGGTCTTGGTAAACAGAAATCTAGGAATCACTCTAAAAAGATAAGCTGGACTCAAATTACTTTATAGTAAAGAGTGTTTCTACTGAGAAATGAGCGTTGTTGTAATTAAATATGTCATAAAAATGCCTAGAGCTCAACTGAATTTGTTCTAGCTCATCAGATGTAATGCTGTGTAATCCTGTCTGAGTTTTTCATACAGAAGGTCATGTGAACTCCTTTATAAAAAAAAGGTCAAATTTCCTTGCTTCCATTGAAGCATACAAGATGCTGTTTGGGATGTTGTCCGATCAAGCTGGATAAGATGGAGCATCAGGTTTTGTCCATGCAGTTCCAGTGCTGAGGTCATAGCGAAAAAGGAAGAGGAGGAGAAGACATTCTCAAATCCAAAATTAGAAAAATACAAAATGAATAATTCTGGCATTAGACTTTTGATTCCACTTTATATGAATGCATTACATTTTAGATGAGCATGTTTGTGGAGACATTGAGCTGTTTGTTTATGCGCTCTGTACTCTAATCTGTTGCATCATTACATAATGTACCAAAGAAGAAACTGGAGATATTTCATCCTTCTGACCCATTGTTTCTGTCCCTGTTCCAAATTACATGCATTGACAACAATTTTTGTTTTACAAAAAATTGGAGAATGGAGAAAAATATGGAGAAGGTAAGAAAATACCATGGTTTGAATTTTGAGGCAATGAGTTTCCTCTTAAGTTCACTGATATCTTCAGGTCAAGTGGCTGCACGCTTTAATACTGAAAAAACAAACGTTGCCCAAAGAACACAAAAAAATATCCATATCCATATTTTTTTATGCCCCACAGTGATATTTAATATGGCATGTTACTATTTTGGCATGAACCCAAAGAATACCAGACGTTCAGTTCAACCTGTGAAACATATTCCTGAGATAAATTTATGATTGTTGTGCCCTCAGTCAAGAAAGTCCAAAAGATTACACCAAAATATCTTAAGGACTGAATATTATTTTCAACTATGTGAAGTTATATTCAAGTATGTGAAGACACATAATTTTTGTGTCCTGAAGAAACAAAATCTGATATTTATGCATCTGGGTCCTGGGTTTTGTCATAGTGTTGAACATTAGCTGAAACCAGATCTTTCTACAAAGTACCAACATCCAGTTTTCAATACCCAAAGCAGACAATGCAACATAATATCAGTTTGACTGAACACATTCTTCACTGGAGTTCATCACAAGTTTTCCAACTTTTCAGTTTTTAGTAATAATATACTTTGGTGCTCCTCCTGGACCAGACCTCCACATATATAAAGGTTCCAGATTTCTTGTGTTCTTCTTCTACTCCTCACTTCATCTTTTATCTCTTCCCTTTTGCTTAATGTATTAACAGGATTTTTAAATATTTTGATGTGGCCTGCAATGGGCAACTTCAACTAGAAGAGAAAAATAAATCAATTAATACATAAATGAAATGTCTTGGAGCAATGTACAACAGAGTCATTTTGTTTTTGACTAATGAGGTTTGTTTGGGGGCTTACGTATGCTCGCTTTCTGTTTCATTACTGTTCAAACTATTTAAAAAATTTGTAGAATCTGTTGGCTGTTGTCTAATCTCTAATCTCAAAGCTGTTGCATATTAAATAAATATTACATAAGTATGTCATTATTTACTCAAGTCATTCCAAATGTTTTTTTTTTGTTTTGTTTTTTTATCTTAATACAGCTTGTTCCTCTTCAGGAACTTGAGCTGCGTTGGAAAACGCTTTGGGAACACCTTCTGTGACCACGCTCTGAATCACATGTGAAATCTACGGTGGCCGAGAGAGCTCAACACGCTGCAACTTAAGAAAACACATGCAAATTGAAAAAACACCAGCAAACCAAAAACAAATAAATAAAAAGTTAAACATATTTTATTTTTTTTATTTTTCTTAAATAAAAAAAATCATAAATAAATTAATATAAAAAATAACTTAAATGGAAAATTACACATAAAATGTCAACTTCAAAGAATACACAGGAGGTAACCCTTACATCAAAGTCCATATTTTTCCATCAATACAGTAGTTTTAACAGCTTTCTTATTAAGTGATGAGCAGAGAGATTCAGAAAATAATTTCAAATCAATACAAAAAATCCTAAAATTGGGCATACAATTTGTGCAGTGGCTATTGGTCAGTGGAGTTGTCGGTGAACTGAAAGGTGAGGTTTTTTTTGTTTATTTGAACACCCTGATTGCATGATTCCTTTGTCTTTTAGATATTATTAGCCTAAATAATCTGACGAATTACACGAGTAACTGTGAAACATTATATAAAATGGCTAATTTAACAGGCTGCCATGCCACAATCTCTCTTCCCCCATTAAATGTTCTCTTTCTTTCCCTCCCCACTCCTCCGCTGGACTAGTCAAGAGTTGAGTGGGTTTTGGAGACACAGGGCTGGTTGTGTGGTTTGGAGTACATGTATAGGAAACTCGAGAAAGTAAAGACACTGGTTTAACTGCAGGTCAAGTGAGCAGGATACTGGTGAGGCCAAAGCAGGTTAGCTCTCAGACTTAACACATAATGGCCACAGGATTAACATTCTTCAAACAAATTAAGATATGAGTTGTGTTTATCACAAATGTTAGCAAGGACATCATACGAGTCTTTTGAGCCACATGTGGAAAAATCACAATTATCAGTTCCCTTTCGATACTTCACTCATACTGCGTCGCTAGACACTATGGGGAAACTCCTTTTTCTCTGAGACTGAAGTATTTTTTAATAACGCAGTGTAACTTCACGGCCATTGGTTCATGCAGTGAGATAAAAAATGAACCAATGGCGAGGCAGCGGAGCTGCACGAGCCTATGGCCATGAAGCCCGCCAATATGGGAGGGGCCATCTGGCTATATAAGCAAGGATCAGCAATACCCTTCTTCTAACAAGCGTTTTGATCTTTTTAGGCAGATTGGATGAGAATGAAAACTTCCTCTTCTACTCACGAGTATCATGTCCCCCGCATGGCGACCTACCACTCGAGTCAATCCAACCCCTTGCCACGCGGGCCGAGGCCTGGCAGGCCATCCCCGGAGTGTCAGGTTGGGGGTTGGGGGATAATAAAACGAGGTTACTCACTTCAATTCGCTCAAAGACCCCCGCGATTCAGCTGCATCGTTCCCACCTTGGCATCCTGCGCACTGAGGTGATAAATTTACTGGCAAAGGAGCCTTAGAAATGGTTCCTCCAGTTCAGAGCGAGTCAGGCTTCTACAGCTGTTACTTCCTCATCCCCAAAAAAAGGATGACGGCCTAAAGCCCATCCTCGACCTCAGGCACCTGAACCGCGCCCCCATGAAACAGCCATTCAAGATGAGTGCGTTGAAACAGATTCTCTCGCAATATGCCCAGGGGACTAGTTCTTTTTTCTGGACCTGAAAGATGCCTATTTTCACATCCAGATAGCCCCCGATAACAGACGATTCTTGAGATTCGCCTTCGAGGGAGTGGCTTATCAATACACGGTCCTTCCCTTCAAGCTGTCACTGGCTCCTCGCACTTTTATGAAGTGCATGTATGTAGCGGCTCTTTCCCCTCTGAGGCAGATGGGAATTAGCATTCTGAATTACTTCGATGACTGGCTCATCTTAGCCCAGTCAGAGGCCGAGCTACTATCCCACAGATCCCTCCTCCTCAGCCATTTGGAATGCCTGGGACTCAGGGTCAATGTTGCCAAGAGCTCACTTCAGTACTGGCTGAAACTACGAGTTCCGTACCACACCTGGTGTCATGGATGCCTGTATATCAAGGTGGACCATGCCTGCGTGGCAGCTCTGGCCCTTGGAAAGACCCTCAGTGGATGGATCAGGGCATGACTCTGGGAATGGTCTGCAGAAGGAAGGTTGTTTCGACAGATGCATCCAACAAGGGTTGGGAAGCTCTGTGCGATGGCAAACCGATTTTCGGGCCTTCGTCGAAAGACTAAAGTGGGCTACACATCAACTGCCTGGAAATGCTGGCAGTGTGTCGGGCCCTTCAGACCTTCTTGTCAGACCTAAGGGGACACCACGTTTTAGTCCACTCGGACAGTATGACAGTGGTGTCCTATATAAATCACCAGGGCGGGCTCTCTTTGTAGCGCCTCTTCATTCTGGTGGAGCATTTCTTGGACTGGGCACAGCTCAACTTGCGTTTGTTGAGAGCAACGCAAGTGCCAGTGGAACCAAGGAGCAGACATGCTATCCCGGAGCAACATCCCCTCAGAGGAGTCCATCCGCAAACAGTTCAGAGAATCTGGGACATCTTTGGGAAGGCAGAGGTCAACCTATTTGGCTCAGAAGACAACTCTCATTGCCCAACTTATTTTTAAAAAGGACAAGGACGCGTTGGCCCACGACTGACCCAACCTCCTCCTTTACGCTTTTCCTCCAATCGCCCTTATCCCTTCAGTATTCAGGCGAATCAGGGAGCAAGAACACAAGGTTCTCCTAGTGGCCCCGCTCTGGAGGAACCAACATTGGTTCTCGGAGCTGTCTCAGCTACTCATTGCTGCCCCGTGGCCCACTTCCTGAGACGGGACCTCCTCTCTCAGGTGAATAGAACGTTATGGCACCCCCAGCCCGAGCTGTGGGCTCTGCACCTCTGGCCTCTCGATGGGAGGCTGCAGACCTCCCCGAGAGCATTCTAAATGCAATTTCTCAGGCTAGAGCCTCATCTACGAGACGTCTCTATACCCTTAAATGGTCTGGTCTCTATGCCCAAAGGCTGTGCAGTTACACAGTGTTATTAAAAAAGGCTTCAATATCGGAGAAAAGGGTGATTTCCCATAGCGTCTAGCGACTCAGTACTCATTCCCGTATCTCAGGGAACCAGGGTTACGTCAGTAACCAAGTACGTTTTTATTGATTTGGCTTTAAGCATAGATTGATTGATTGTAAATAATGTGATGTGATGCATGCAGTGGTAAGTTTTCATAAAAGTCATGTCCCTTCAAGGGACATTTAACTGTGTAATATTCTAACTACTGAAACACATCAAAAACAAAGCATAGTGATGCTAACAAAGTTTACTCAGTTTTTAGTATAAAGGTAGGTGGGAAAATATGATTTACTGAAAGTTTCAAAGATTCAAAAACATTATTGTCTATCAACCAGTGATAGAAATTTGTCTTAGGTAAAAAGGCTCACACATACACAATACAAAAAAAAACACAACAAACAAAATAGATTTGATTTAAAGAAAGCACCTTTATTTTTAACACAATTATAAAGATCTAAAAGTTGAATCTGTGGGAACCCAATGATTTTAGATGTCTGCCTGATTCCTCTTGCTAATGTTTTCTTGTTTTCGCCAAAAGGAAGTTCCACCAGGAAACAATATTAAAGGTTATAACTGATTCAACAAGTGACCGGTACACTGCTGTTAAGATATCCTGTCTAACATTAAAACCCTTCAGCATTCTCAAAAGAGATAATCGCTGTTGAGCCTTCTTACAGATACTATTCGCCTGCTGTGTAAAAGATAGATGCTGGTCAATCTCAGTGCCAAAATATGTAAAGGCCTCAACCACTACCTGCCCCCCCAGCCAAAGTGGTTCAGATAGAGGATAAACAGTATTAAATTAACGAAAGCTCCCACAACACAACTTCTTAGTCTTACTAATATTTAACTCCAGCAAACTTTCTTGGAACCACAGGATCATAGACTCAACAAACTGCCTATAAGGGATTGCTCATCTGTCATATAAGCCACCAAAGCCACGTCATCAGCATATTTCAAAAGTGACAAACCATTGATATCACACTTACTTTAGTACTGACCCCTTCAAAAATCCTGTAATTTTCAAGCATAAATGGCAGTTTTCTGGAAATCAGCCAAAAGTTACCCAAAGGAACAAATCTTTTGGCCTTTTTAGACAAGCTGGAAAGATCATTCAAGCATTTTACATTAGCAGTAATGAATAATGATATGGACAGGAGATCAGAGGTCAACACAGAAGGAGCGTAGATGCTAGAAGAATGCTAGCAGTACTAATTGAACAAGTAATTTACCTTGACACTCCAACTGCCTAAAGCAGGAACAATAAATCTGAAAATCATTGTTAAGTTATTTGTACAACTGTGATTTCAACTTACTTTTCAATATTAAGACTGTGACAGTTGTAGTTATTTATGTTGGTAACGCTGCATTATGGTAGACTTTTGGTTGAAAATGTAGTGAAAAATCAGTGTTCAAACTGTCTCCTTAACCCACTAATGACTTAATAATTTGTGCTGTCATGTCAGAATCCGGACATCACAGTCACAGTGACTTATATATAATCAAACTATAAATATGTGAAAATGTACTCAGCAAATTTTAAGTACTGCACAAAAGTCTGTGAGCAAAACCACCCAAGACATCGGAACAGAGTGTGTTGACTGACATTTTAACAGATCAGGCATAAGAACTGCGTACATAGCTGGAAACACCAGCACGCCACCGCTAAAGGATTGTGATCATATTTTGGTCAGGTCAGAATGTTTGATATGCGCACCCAAGCTTTTATTTGACCAAAAATACAGTAAAAGCAGTGGTCTTTGTGAGAGTTCTTACAAGAAGTATCTACTAATGGAGCCTTACTGTAACTAGGGTTGTAAACTCTCACACACTCATCTCTATCTAATGCTGCCCAACTAAATTTCATGCCAAATAACAATACAATGCTAAATAAATCAATAAGAATGCTCATAGGATTTGACTGATTGGTCTAAAACAGATGTTCTTAAGATTATGCAGTAAGATTCTACACCAATCAAACTTCTTCCTGCACTTCGCGAGGTGACTACTACAGAGACAGCTGTCTACAGTACGGAGAACATGAAGTGACAGCAGTTTGTGCTCCCAAACCAGGGCATGAAACACCTGACAAATTTGGTCACAGGCCACAGGTGACAATTTCATTGTGGATATATGTGCACTCTTACAGTAGTCACTCTCAGTCCACCAACAGATAATATTATTGCAATTTCACAGTCACAAAGATGGATGTAGATGAGCTGCTACTGCTTTACATTTGCAAGGATACCAAAGGAAAAACAGATGCATATGGGCATATGAAACTCTTCAAAGACAAGAAGAGTTTCACTGGGAGAATCCATCACTCTATTGAGAGAGTTGTCATCTTTTGAAGACAAATGTGATGCATACAGCATCACTTTGATAGTATCCTGGACATTGTGAAAAAGAACATTAGCAAGAGCCAATTTTGCTATTTTGCCACCCCAATTATAAAATCCTGGACACGCCCCTGTGGTGTTCCCATTGGCAGTGGCCTCTTTCAGCAGGATAATGCACCCTGCCACACTGCAAAATGGTTTAAGGAACGTGACAGAGCTCAAAGTGTTGCCTTGGCCTCCAAATTCCCCAGATCTCAATTTGATTGAGCATCTATGGGATGTGCTGGACTAACAGATCTGATCGATGGAGGCCTCAGCTCACAACTTGCAGGAATTAAAGAACCTGCTGCTAATGTTTTGGTGGCAATACCACAGGACATGTTCAGAGGTCTTGTGGAGTCCATGTCTCCACACATCAGAGGTGTTTTGACAGCTTGAGGGGGACCTAAACAATATTAGGTGAGTGGATTTAATGCTGTGGCTGATCAGTGTAATACTCAGAACTGACAGATAATATAAGTATCAAAGTACAAAAACTACAGCATTGTTTCCACAGGTGAGGTCCGGTTTGCTTTGCTCTGAAGTTTCTGTTGCTATACACACATAGTCCCTCTCACTTTCTGCAAAGCTGATCTGTTGATTTATCCACGAAACTCTATAACTCTGTTGCAATAAAATGTGGAATGTAGACAGGCGGCACACAAAAGCAAGAAGATTAACAAACACATGAGTTAACAAATGACAAGTTATGCATGAGACTTTTCCAGAGTTTAAACGTAAAAGCCTGATTAAAATTAGCCTTAATTCTTAAAAAAATAATGCCTTCATTTCATAGCAGTGCTTAAATTGTTCCATAATAATAGGCTATACACACATAGTCCCTCTCACTTTCTGCAAAGCTGATCTGTTGATTTATCCACGAAACTCTATAACTCTGTTGCAATAAAATGTGGAATGTAGACATACAAAAGCAAGAAGATTAACAAACACATGAGTTAACAAATGACAAGTTATGCATGAGACTTTTCCAGAGTTTAAACGTAAAAGCCTGATTAAAATTAGCCTTAATTCTTAAAAAAATAATGCCTTCATTTCATAGCAGTGCTTAAATTGTTCCATAATAATAAAGCCATAAACCATAAAGACTTGTCTGGAACCAATCCTGGTTTTCCAAATTATTTCACGGGGAGCAGAGAAGCACTGAAAAATACATAGAGTCACATACACAGGCATGCACGAATAATGCAAACAAACTCCAGTGCAAAGTCTGCACATTCAGAATGGGTTCACTCAGCTGTAGACTTCGCAGAAAGCACAAGGCATTAGGTCAATAATAAAAAACAAAAAACAGTCTAGAAAGTACACATGAAAAATGAAATCAAAACACAACATGCACTTAACAAATGTATTTTTATGACCAAAATACAGCCAGGCCACATCGCAACATTTGTGTAACTTTTGATTTGTGTTTTAATTTGAGAGTTTAAATTGCATTCCTGCTGAGCTAATTTATTCTGTTCCTCCCTCACAAGTGAAATCCAGTTATGATATACAATCCATTTAGTGGAATTATGCTGTTAAATATAAAAAAATTTTTGAATCACTACATTTATATATTCATGTATGATGTATGACCTTTCTCTCAATAAGTTTTATGATGCAAGCAATCAAGAAATCTGGCTATGAGATATGATAATCAATATAATTTATAAGTACACGGTACCTATGCTGTGTGTAATTCTCTGATTTATATAAATAAGTAGACTTGTCTGATATTTACGGCAAACCAAAATTTGTGAAAATCAGAAAAGGGGAATCTGACCTTTTAAATATGGCATACACACAGATGTACTGTAGTAATGATGAACAGTTGCTAATGCAGCATCTATGTATTATATGCTTGGAACTGCAAGTACATAAGGTCAAAGTTCAAAGTAGCAAAAGTTAAATGGAGCTTTGAAGACGAGAGGTCTGGAAGATGTGCCGCCATAGCTGTGGTTCACTTTCACTCTGGATTGCATGACATTGCCCAAAAACTAAAGTAAACACGCTAATAATTTCAAGAATGGAAAGATAAGATTCAACTATTTGTTTTCTTTGAACATGGAAATAAAGTGGACTACTTTGTCTTCAATGTGTCTGTTTTCTTTTAATAATGTCAGAGACTGACATTGTTACAACAGTGAACTAATAAACCTTCTCGTCCTGAAAATATCTCCTGGAATCGTATAGATATGTGCTCTAGCACCGCGGTACCACCAGAGCACATTCTCATGGCTTCAGTGGCAGACGTCCCAAGACCCTTTGAAATCTCAGGGCATCAGCGCGAGTTATGTCCAGAAGGCACTAGGAAATCAAAGGCCCAGGCTTTTCCAAATGACTGAAAAATTCACGCACTCTACATTGGGGGAATCTGACCTCAGCTGAAAAAAAGGCCTTATCCAACAAAGAGATGCAAGTCAAGAAAAACTAGATCTTCAAGTGCTTCCAGTGTGACGTGAAATATGTGACAAGTGAGGACTAATCAAGTAAACATACAGTTCTTCTATGATT